ATATAAACCCTTCATTACCTTAAGGACCCTAGACTAAGGGAATTATGGTATATTCCTTATAATGGATCATGCAGGATTTATATCATCAACCGTGTGGTCTTCGGGCTTTCGGGTTTACCGGTTTTAGGTTGTAAGGGGTGTTGGGGATTTTGGGGGTTTAGGGGTTGAGGTGTTTGGGGTCTAGGGGGGTTTGGGGTCTAGGGGAGGGTTTGCGGGATTTAGGTTTTAGGGGCTTAATTGATGGTAGGATTTTTCCAGTTCATACTCATGATTTCTAAATTGAGCCTTTTCACTCTATTTTTACAAGTGCTTGAGATGCTTTGGGTAGGTGCTTCTAGGGTTTGTAAGGGACTTAGGGTTTAGGGTTTAAGGCCTCGGGCTTATCTACGGGGTTTAGGGTTCTTTTGCGGGGGCTTTGCGGCTCTTAGGGTGTTGGCTTTAGGGTTCAGCTAAATATATAAGGAGGTCAGGAGTTTCGGGTTTAGAGAGCTTGGGTGTAGGCATTTATAAGTTTTAGGGCTTAGGATTGTCGAAGCGGTTATACCACGTCGTCTGGATAGCGTGGTTTGTTTTGACATAATCGCTTGATGAACCCTAATCTTTAGATGGTTAGCCTGTAGCAGCCCCGACGAAGCTGGATAAGTGAGTATCGAGTCCTAAACCAGGTTGAGGAGCTTTTAAGTGCTGAGCCACTCCGCCCACTTCTGTGTTGAAATGAGTCTTCAGCTGTCGGGTACAATGGTTCTGGGTGACCTTAGGAGTAAGTAGGGTTTAGTTAGAAAGGTTGGGTAATTGGCCTGCTACATTACAACTGTCCCTAACCCTCCAGGTACCTACTGTATAGGGTCCTAGGGGCCCCTATATACTAGGTTCCTGGGGTTAGGGTGTGTTGTATCCAGACATTGGGTTTAGCATTCCTTCACTGATCTTGTGGCAGGCTTCCGAAGCTCTCTCGCCTGCTACTGCAGAGTGGACAGGGACTCGGCAACTGCACATGATGAGCGAGAGGAGGGGACCGCAGTATCCGCTTCGGCCGGTTGTCCTGCGCAAGACGCTGACATCGGCATGCGGCGCGCCTATGTTGAGAAATCCCACAATCCATCGTACTCCTTGAAGACTCTGAGCGCTTATGCAGTTTGCGCTCGCGTGCGCCTGCCTGCCTCTTTAGTGACTGGATCCATGTTCGCCCCCTCTCCCTCGCCCCCTCCTTCCTTCCCTCTGGCTCTGTGCAGATACCCACCCTTCACCCTGTCTCTGTGCATGCACCTACCTGTTTCTGTAAGTCGATTCAGGTGCGTGTGTCTGTGTGTATATATACATATGTATGCATATATATATAGATATAGATATGCATACATACATATATATGTATATACATATATATATATGCATACATACATATATGTATGCACAAGGTTTGTATGTAAAGGCATCATCTTCATATACAGTGCGTATACATAAGATCATTTATGTGGCTACTTGTTTGTATGTGTGCGTTTGTGTATGCATGCATGCATGTATGTATGTATTACGTGTGTGTTCTAGAAGGTTTACAATGTCCTGATGGATGGATATATGCAGAATGATGCAGACACGCACAATGGTGCCACATTGCAGACAGCGACTCGATTCCGCAACCGCTTTCTGGCTTCAAGGTGTTTTTGAGGGACTCGTCCTACGACCCGCTGTGATTCTCTCCTCGTGCAGATCATGGCTCGTGGCATGTTGATCCTTGCCTTCGGCTGCATGTGCCTGTGGGCGCTGAGCGGCCGCAGTTTTGTGAGTGGCCCTGCAACGCAGGCCCGCCAGGTCAACGTGGCTGCGGCTGCAGAGGTGAAGTACGAAACGGACATGCCTGCCGAAAACGGCGTCTACCCAGTGGGCAACGCCAAGCGGACGGCGCCGTACGGCGAGCGCGACCCTCTCCCGGAGGGCTACGGCATCCGCACAGGCCTCTCGGACCTGCTCAAGCCCTTGAATGCTGAGGCAGGTGTCGTGGCCAAGGAGGACAGCATCCCTACCGTGCTTGTGATGGTTGCTCGGCAGTTCCGTGATAACATGTCTCTTTTGCTTTTAGAGAGAACTCCGGAGCTGCTCTTACCTGTATCCCACAAGTGACTAAGGTCACGGGCATTGTTCTGCTGTTCCTTTTCTACCTGCTGCTCCTGCTGCTCGACAACCAGTCCGTGCTGCTGCCCCCCGAGGACGAGTTCGATGAGTACGTGACTTGGCCAAGCAATACTACGTCAGGTTTGGGGTTCAGCGGTTTAGGTGTGGCGCTTCAGCATCCGAAGGGTTAGGTGTTGATCTGTGTTCCCTCCCGTCGTGCCGAGGTGCAGAACTTCCTCCCATACTTCTTCTTCGGTGAGAAGTGAGCCGTGCTTTCTAGTTTTCCCATTCGAAAGCTGCGGAGATGTCACGGCAAAGCCCTGTTCGTCACCTCGTCGCCAGCGGACTCGAGGATAAAAGCCTTCTGGGGCCGGGTTAGCATGTGCCTGTGGCCACAGTAGTTTCGTAAAGGTTCTACAGGGGTTTCTGCTGAGTCCTGCAAGTTTTTACATGAGGCTAAAGTATAAGGTTCATTGATGTTCACGGGGTATGGCCTAAGCCCTAAACTCGTTAAGTGCTAATTACTACAGTCTTAGGGACAGCGGACTCAACACTGGTGAAAGCCATACATGTCAGCAGGTATGGTGGTCACAGTGGTGAACGCGAAGCTGGCAATGCCTGAAATTTATCTGAGTGCTAGAGTGGGTCAGTAAGTAAGCTTTAACCTTTTTTGGGGGGTACGAATATCAATATTTCCTTATAAAGCTATGGTTAAACCTATGTAAAGGTTAGTTCCCCTAAAAATACTGGACGAGAAAGTCCTGCCCAGGCCTGTCGAGTTCGAGCATGGCAGTCACGCAGGCGCCTTCATGGACGCCGGGAACCCCGGGGAGCTCATTTTTCACAAGCTCCCGGGGCCCTAGAAATGGATTTGGAGTGTGGTCGCTGTGGTGAAGTTCTGAGACTCACTGTTGGTCGCAGGCGAAGATGCGGCCGCCAGCCAGCCTTCGAGAGTTTAACGAAAAAGATGCACTAGACCCTAAACCCTAAACCTTAAACCCTAAACCCTAAACCCTGCTTCCAACTTTAGTGCTGACGGATTCTTCGACTAGCAGGCGAAGCTTTAGGATGCTCCCAGGGCTTGAAATATCCCTCGTCCGGGCTGGCTGCAGGGAACGAGTTGGACTTTGCTTAGGCAAGCTTCAGAGAAATGACACCTCCAGGTGCCGAAGAAGTCGTGATCCGGAAACGAACATACGACAGCATGCAAGCAGTTCGGGATGGTAGATGGGCAGGAGCTTGTGCAAGCTGTGAGCTTAAAGTCGACGAGTCAGTGGAAGCAAAGGTGTGCCATAACCCGTGACGATAATGCATTGCAGTATCTCGATGGGTACAGCCGGTGTGCAGAATGCTACACATGATAGCAGTTCAAGTGGCCGTGATTGTCACGCGCAAGCACTGCGAGCAGATGTTTGTCCCCGCTTGGCTTTGTTTTGTGTTCAGCAGGTAGATGGCAGCTCAAAGTAGTCCGACATGTCCAGCACGTCGACGCCGATGATGAAGCTTCTGGTGGCCCTTGCCGCTGCGAGCGGCCACCTGGCAGGTGCGGAGCTGCAACTGCCGTTGCCACAGGACCCTTAACGAAAACCTTAGCAGAACCCTTGCACAGCCCTTAAAGAACCCCTATACACAAACCTTAGCACAGGACTTTGTGCAGGGCGCCATCTTTTTCACGAGCGCGCACACCGGTGATTTGGTGCGTCTCGACTGTAAGGCGGATGGATGCTCCAAACCGCTTGCAATCGCTGCAGGCCTTGAAACGTATAGTGGGCTTGTGCCATGGAGCGGGCAACTTGTGGCCGCGACCAAAAGGCACAAGCTCGTGCAAGTGGACCCATGGTGTCAGGACAGCTCCTGCCCGTTAAAAACGCTGGTGGATGTGGAGCATGCTCTGGCTGAACTCATGGGTCCTCACGGAAATTTCAGCCTCGGTGGCATCACTTGGTGTCAGGACTCGCTGTTCGTTGTGTTTGGGGCAGCGACGCACCCAGGGCCCAGTGGCGTAATGCGCTGTGCCAACTGTTCAGTTGGGCATGATTGCACATCTAGCTGCTCGCTAGTCGATGGTGGAAAAGCCGCCGGCAAAGGATCTCAGGAGCTTTCGGGTTTCGCAGCAGGCATCGCTTGCATGGGCGACCGGGTTCTTGTTACCGACAACAGCAACTTCCGAGTGCAAGCGATCCCGGCCGGATGTGCAAAAGCACCCTGTGAGATCGATACTTTCGCGCAGGGACTAAAGTGGCCGCTTGGCATTGCAGTAGTGAGCGGCGGAAGCCGTGTTCTCGTCACGCTGGACGAAGGCATCAAATCCTTGCACTCCGATGGCTCGTCACTGGCGAACTTCAGCTACCGGGGTGACACTGGAGGCCTTTGCGAAGGTGATGGCAAAGTCTTGGCGGTGGATGGCAGTACTGGCAACATCTTGTCCTTCGACCCGGCCTGTGACGCTAACTGCGCAGCCTCACTTATCTGGAACTCGACCGGGAGCACTGCCAGGCGCGGCGTGCTCATTGAAAAACACCGACGTTTCTGTCTGCCGCAAATCAACGCTAGAGCCCTTAATAATTATAGTAGGGTTTTGCGGGTTCGTGATTATGATTATAGTATAACATACCCCAAATCCTATTCTAAGTATTAAGGCCCCTATATGATGACCAGGTCTGTGGGCTTGATTGCGTACATGCCGCACCAGCTGAGGGACAGTCCGGCGATATTCCTGTGAGAGTGCTTTATGTTGTTGTCATCCGGCCCAGACCCTTAGGGTCTCATGGGCCTGAGGAATTCCCATCAGCATCGCACTGCTGCTGCAAGGGATGCTTGTGTGTTTAAGCCCTGTAGTTCGTAGATTTTCGCGCTTGACGTCTCGAGGGGTGACCATGTTCATCAGTTTTGCAATGTAGGCAAGCCTTCCAAACACTGTCGGCGACGAGACGATGTGGCAGGCGCACGCATAAAGGAAATTACGTGCTTTGCACTGGCTTCGATTTCTGGCCATCATTATCATATCTGCCAGACTCCAGCGTAACACCATTACCATCACCTGGCTCATGTTAATCATAAAGTAGTATTGATCTGATGACAGTTAGCATCAGCATAATCGGCATTATCGTCTAAATGGCTCAATGGTTATCCTTGCAATCGTTGCCTTGTCACCTTCATCATCGTTATCATTAACTTCATGCTTTGTGTAATATAATGATCTCTCTTGAGATATATATATATATATTTGTAGATAATTTCGAAGAATGTGAATATTTTTTTATTTAGGAATCGATCGATTTATAACAATTTGTTTATTTAGAATTAATATATACATATATACATATATATCTATTTTGTCATTATTTTAATTATTGAAATATATTTTATTTTTCTATATCGTAGAATTCTATATTTGTTTATATTTTCAATAAAATAGAATTAAATTTTTTCGTTATAAATTCTATTTTTTTATGATACAGAATTCTATTTATTTTCAAATTTTAATAAAATAGAATTGAATTCTTTGTTAATCGCATTTTCCGAATGAAAAATATAGATAGAATTTTTTATGAAATAAAAATAAATAATTTCTTCTATTTTGAATTTTTCGCAAATTTAAATATATTCTAATCTCGAGGTTCGGGCCTAAAATAATATTATATTGATGATTTTATTTTTTGAAATGAAATCTAAGATTTTAATATATTTCTATATTATAGTTCGCGAGAAAATGAAAAATATTAGTAGAGATTTAATTACTGATAAAATTATACAATTTATTTAATTATGCTATCTACCTAAATAATATATTTTATATATATGATTTTTAATATATTTTTTATACCGTAGGTCGCGAGCAATAGATTTATATAGAATATTAATTATATCCGCTTAAACAATAAAATAATCGAAATATGATCGATATTTAGAAAAATTAATTGAAATACGATTGATATTTAAGAGAGATTCTGAGCTTAATATATATATATATTAATATCGAATTTATATAATATATTAATAATAAGAATTATCTTTCTAAAAATAAAAAATATATTACGAGTTCTATAAAGATAATAATTTATATATATTTATCTATAATATGGGTAGGGCTCTAGAGATATCGTATATTTTTAATTCGGAATTTTATGTAGAAAATCTATTTAAAAACGTCATAAGATTAAGAATATTTTCAAAATATCTCTATAATCTTATAAAATTTATTTGGATTACCGATTATCTTTATCTTTTTGATTCCGCCGCAAAAATTTGGGTCTGATTGAGAAATACTAATTTAGATATATAGATTTTCTTCTCATTTCGAGAAAAAAAAGAAGATTCCCGAATATTGCTCGTTTTTTTTTTCTTCTTTTCAGAGATATGATTCCCGAATCTCTATATTGAAAAAATTCCGAAATATAAAATTCTAATATAAAATCTTTATCAAACAGTCAACAAAAACATCTGTAATTTCTTGGAATCTTAAATCTAAATTAAAGAATTTAAACAGGTTTATAATATATAGACAACAAAATCATAATTATTATATATATATATATCTAAATAATATTGGAATATTATGACTATAAATAATATCTTTGCTTATTTTAATTTAAGAG